CGTGCGGGGGCCTGTCCCGGCAGCTCAGCCAGGGCTGGCCGGGGTGAGGGCCTGGACGGGCGGCAGGCTGGCCGTCCCCTGAGCCCCAGCCGGCCCTCGGTCCTGGCTCTGTTTGGAGTGGCAGTCGCTGACTAAGCAGCTGTCCACCCGCGGCATGCTTGAATCTGAACTTGAATTTGCCTGGAGGTGCTGGGTGAGAGCAGGCCCGGGGTGGGGGTCGTCACCCTGGGGTCCTTGCTGCTCCTCAGACCCCTCCTCAGCACGCCCCTGAGAGGTCGTTTTGAAGGCTCAGGGCTTCGGAGTTGACGGTATGATTCTGGAACTCGACAGCCTGGGTTCACCTGGCTCTGCCACTTCCTGTGTGACCTGGGGCAGGTCACTTAACCTCTCTGTGCCTCAGTTTCCTCAACTGTAAAGGGAGGGTCACAGCAGAACCTACCTCATAGAGCCCTGTGCGTGTGAAAGCGGGTAAACGACTTACAGCAGGGCCGAGCACGCACCCCTTCATGCCTGCCACCCGGCGTCAGCGGTCGTCCCTGGCATTGTTATCTTTGTCATCACCTCTGCCACCTGCCCAACCCTGCCCCCTGGTGTGGACTCTATTCTCCTTAGACAAACCCTCTCTGTCCACATCCATTGTATTGAAAAGCATCTTGGGGCCAGCAGACGACGTGGCGGTTACCTTGCTGGACTCCCACGTGGGTGATCGCGGTTTGAGTCCTGGACCTGGGAATGTGTGCGTGCGTGCCCAAGATCCTGGGGGGAGAACAGAGGAGAAGGGATTGCAGCATGGCCGTCCCCGCTGGGGGGTGATTGCTCCTGCAACCTCGATCTCTCCCTCTGTCTCTCTAGTGAGCTCATGCACCCTAAGGCAAAAACTTTCTTTAAAAAAAGAAGAAAGGAAAGCATCTTAGCCCAGCAGTTTAGAGCCCAGGTTCTGGGCCCAGACAGCTCTGAGTTCACATCCCAGCTCTGCTATCACCTGCTGAGTGACCTTGAGCAAACGATTCATTTCTCTGGGCCTCAGTTTCTCCATCTACTAAATAGGAGACGTGACGCAGAAATTTCTCGAGGTTGCGGTGAGGCCTGAGTAGGTGAACTCGTGAAGCGTGAGGCACAGGCCTGGGCTCTTCTGTGCCAGGCAACACCCCTGGCTGCTGATAGTTACTGGCCGCCTGCTGCGTGCTGCAGCCATAGGGAGGTGGGACTGGGTGCCAGGGACCTTGCTGGCTCAAGTCTGGAGCAGGAGGCTCTGTCTCTGCCTCAGTTTCTTACCTGTGAATGGGAAGGCGGGGACCCAGGCCTCGTGGGGTTGTGTGAGGTGCCAACCCCTCTGCAGCCTGAGGTCAGTCCCCTCGGCTTGGCATGAGCTGTGGCAGGGTCTCTCCGGCTGCTCCTTTCTCGGTTATGACTCAGGTACCCTCCTGTCACCCCAGGCCTTTCCCCTCCACTTGGTTGCTACAGAGCTCTGCCCACTTTGCGATAGGACAACAGAAGCCCCCAGAGAGCAAGGCCGGACCTGAGTCAGGAGGTAGCGCTCAGGAGCACAGCCCAGCCCAGCTCCAGCCTCACCTGACAAGCCCCACCCCCACTCCCAAACTCAGGCCCCCAGGCCTACTTCCTGGAGCCCCTGAGCTCTGGGGTCTCCCAGGCCCCGGGTGAGTCCTGAGGGGCCCAGTGTGGGGAGGTGATTCGAACAAAGCCATTAAGATCCAGAAAATCAAAGAGACTGGGGCGAGGGTTAAGGGCCAGCCAGGGCTGGAGAAAAAAGATTCTAGAAGCTTCCAAGCAGGCGTAAAAGCCCCTGGGTTGCAGTGGGGTACAAACCACCCCACACCCTTCCAATTCACTGCTGGAGTAAGAGGGAGAAGGTTTATTCAGGGCTGCAGAGGTGGAAGCCGGATCTGCAGAGGAGGGAGGTGAGCCTGTGTAGAGCCCGCTGTAGGTGGGATGTGTCGCTCAGCAGCAGTTCCCACGTGCCAGGCACTGGGGGCGCATGTGAGGCTTGGCAAAGGGAGAAGCAGGCCCAGCACTAAAAGCAGCGGCCATTTCTTGCACCCTGCTCATCCTCACCTCATCCCTGCAGTGGCTACAAGGCTTCCCAGGTCTGCCCCGTTGCCCGTGCCCCTCTACCCACTTGGGGACCCCTTTCCTTGCTCAAGGACACCAGAGACACGCTCCTGCCTCGGGGCTCTGGCATTGCCTGTCCCCCTGTCCAAAATGCTTTTCCCCTTGAGAGCTGTTGCATTTTCGAAAAAGTTGTGACATTTTTTTCTATTTTTCTGTGCAAAAATGCATCATGACTTTTCTAACAACCAAGTGCATTGCAGACTCCCTAACCTCTTTTTATAGACTTTTTAAAAAGAATTATTGTTAATTTTATTAATTATCATTATTGTCATTTTTTATTTGGGCATGTGCACTCACCAGAGAGAGAGACAGAGAAAATGAGAAAGCAAACTGCCAAGTCTGGGACTCAAACCATGGCTGGCCATGTGGGAGTCCAGTGCCTTAACCACCATGCCACCTACTGGACCTTTTTTTTTTTAAGGTTTTTTTTTTTTAAGAATTATTTTATTTAACTGTATTTATTTATTTTAATTTGAATGGAGAGGGACAGAGTGAGGAAGAGAGAGAAGGAAAGTGAGAAAGCCAGCCGCCAGATCCAGGACCTGAACTGCAGTTGACCATGTGGGAGTCCAGCACCCTTAACCACCATGCCACCTGATGGCTCCTTGTTTTCATCTGTAGATGTTTTTGCTATAGAGCACGTGAGCTCCCAAGAAAGAGAGATAGAAAGACAGAAAGTGAGAAATCACCCCCGCAGGGGGGATGGCCACGCTGCAATCCCTTCTCCTCCATTCTCCTTTCAGGATTCTGGGCCCACCTGCACATGCACCCGGCATGATTCTCAGCTACTGGGTCTGGGACTTGAACTACAGGGGAGTCCAGTGCCGTAGCCATTACGCCATTTGCTGGTCCCTGGGCCCCTTGTTTTTTAAGTTTAAATCTTTTTTTCATGAGACAGTAAGTGTCATAGAAGTTAAGGCAGATGGATCCCACGTGGCTAACTGTGGTTCAAGTCCCAGACCCAGTAGCTGAGAATCATGCCGGGTGCATGTGCAGGTGTGCCCAGAATCCTGAAAGGAGAATGGAGGAGAAGGGATTGCAGTGTGGCCATCCCCCTTGGGGTGTGTGTGTGTGTGGTTTCTCACTTCTCCTCTCTCTATCTCTGTCTCTCTGTTCAAAACCACACCACCTATAAAAAAAAAAAAAAAAAAAAAAAAATTGGGACCAGCAGTTGGCTATGTCGCTGGACTCCCATGTAGTAGACCGTGGTTTGAGTCCTGGACCCAGTGGCTTAAACTCGCACCAGGTGCGTGTGCATGCGTGCCCAAGATCCCGAGAGGAGACTGGAGGAAGAGAAGGGATTGCAGCGTGGCCGTTCCCCCGGGGAATGATGTCTCACTTTCTGTCTCTTTGTCTCTCTTTCTGGTGAGCACACGCGCCGTGTAGCAAACACCTCTCCCAGGAAAGAAATGTATGCATGATAGAGAGCACGGGTGCCTGTGGGACGGGAGAGGCGGGCCCTCTGCAGGGCCTCGTGCACCACAGCGCCCTTCCCCCAGCCCCTCAGCCTGTCCGCACCTTGGATGTGCGTATGCCCGTGCCCAGCGCATGTTCAGAACCCTGGTCAGCCACGTGGCTTCCAGCACTGCAGTTCCATTTGCTACTGCCTGTGGTGAGTGAGAGCGAGAATTAGACCTTTCTGACAGTCTCTCACCCTGCACTATCCTCTGCCCCAGCCCCCCGTCAGCAAGGTTAGAGGAACACACTGCCAGGCCCAGCCTGAGTCGGGCCGGGAACTGACCCAGGCCTCATGCAGCCCCAGCCACTGCACCAGGGTGCCCTCCCGTTCAGCCACCCCGGCAGGGCCTTGCTCATGCCCTTCAGGCCTCGCGCACGTGTTGGCCTCACATTCAGGCTTTTCCTGCCCCGTGGTTTAACACAGCCCTGGCCTCCCCATCTCCCCCTCAGTCCTCAGCGCACTAGCTGTCTCCCGCTGGCCGCGTCATCTCACAGAGCCGGGGCATTGGCTACGATGTTCGTTGTTAAATCCCCAACGCAGAAAAATCCAGCCCACCGCGGGCACCCGTTAGATACTCCCTGAACCAAAGGAATCTTCCCAGCACCCCGAGAAGTCAGTGCTGTTGTTATTGCCATTTTCACAGGTAAAGAGAGACTCAGAGACATCAAGTGACTTGCCCAAGGCCACACAGTCAGCAAGCAACAGCCCTGCAGCCTCGCCCTGATGCTCGCTGTTGCCCCTGTAGGTCCAGCCCCGCCCCACGCACGATGACTGCGCTGCCCCCCTGAGCCAGCACCTGCCCCTCGGCAGCAGCGCCGCCAGCCGGCAGGATGCGGCTGTGGAAGGCGGTGGTGGCGACGCTGGCCTTCATGAGCGTGGACGTGGGCGTGACCACAGCCATCTACGTCTTCAGCCACCTGGACCGCAGCTTGCTGGAGGACATCCGCCACTTCAACGTCTTCGACTCGGTGCTGGACCTGTGGGCGGCCTGCCTGTACCGCAGCTGCCTGCTGCTGGGAGCCACCATCGGCGTGGCCAAGAACAGCGCCCTCGGGCCACGGCGGCTGCGGGCCTCGGGGCTCGTCATCACCCTCGTGTGCCTCTTCGTGGGCATCTACGCCATGGTGAAGCTGCTGCTCTTCTCCGAGGTGCGCAGGCCCATCCGGGACCCCTGGTTCTGGGCCATCTTCGTGTGGACGTATGTCTCGCTGGCCGCCTCCTTCCTGCTGTGGTGGCTGCTGTCCACTGTGCGGCCCGACGCCGAGTCCCTGGAGCCGGGGGCGGCAGCTGAGGCCGAGGGCTTCTCGGGAGCAGGCCGGCCACCTGCCGAGCAGGCGTCGGGGGCCACGCTGCAGAAGCTGCTCTCCTACACCAAGCCCGACGGGGCCTTCCTCGCAGCCGCCTCCTTCTTCCTCATCGTGGCTGCGCTGGGTGAGTGAGGCTCAGGGCCTGGCGCCAGCAGCCCAGCTGGGTGGGCAGAATTACCTCTTAGATTTTCTTTCTAATTGCTAGAGGGCACAGCACTCTAGAGAGGTAGAGGAGAAAGCCCCTCTAGTGGGTGCAGTCACCCACGACCCTTCCTCCCATTTTCCATTTTGTCAGGATTTGAGGCGTGCACTGGGTGCACGCCCCAAATCCTCCGAGACCAGGATTTGAACTGTGGTTGGCCACGTGGGATCGGGCTCCCTTAACCATAGACTACAGGACCAGTGCTCTCTTCTTACATTTTTAACATTTTACTTACATGGTTCAAGCAGCAAATTTAAGTGAGAAGGAAAACATCGTGAGTTCTACTAATCCCACCTCTGCCTGTCCTGGTCCCCCGCCAGGGCTCACTACAGGACAGGAGGAAGTCCCCGAGCATTCCGAGAGGGCAGGAAGCCGTCTCTGTTTGTTCTCCAGCATCCTCCTGCAGTGGCAGGGGCAGCACATGCTGGCCGCCAGGCTGCTCCCAGTCTGGCGCACACGCAAGCTATGTGTCCGGCTCGTCTCAGCTCTCAGCCCAGTCTAGAACTTTCCCCGTCAGGGCTTCTCTCGTTTACTCAGCTGTATAATATTCCATCGTGGGACCAGTAGATGGCATAGTGGTTATGTTACTAGACTCCCACATAGTCAACTGCGGTTCGAGTCCCAGACCCAGAGGCTTAAAACACCCTGGGCTCATGTGCATGCGTGCCCGAGATCCCAAGAGAATGGAGGAAAAGGGATTGCGGCGTGGCCATCCCCCTGAGGGGTGATTTCTCACTTTCTGTTTCCTGTCTCTGTGTCTCTGGCGAGTGCATGCACTCTATAGCAAAAGTCTCTCTTAAAAAAACAACAAACAAACAGAGCTTCAGCGTGTGACTACACAGTGCTCATTTAGCTGGTCTCCTGTTTTGGACTCCTGAGTTGTTTTGGGTCTGTCTCTCTTATAGTAAACAACTGCACATATCATGTGAATGCAGATGGATATGTGAAATAAATCCCTAAAAGCAGAATCCCTGGGTCAAAAGGGTTTTTTAAAAATTCACACACATGAGAGAGACAGAGACCGGGAGAGAGACCCTCCACAGGGTCCGGTCCTGTCGCAGTCCTCTTCCTCCAGTCCTCCGTCCCCCAGGATCCTGGGGACCCGCACACATGCCTGGCATGTGTTCAGTTCCACGCTGGGGACTCGACCCACCACTGTCCTACGTCTTCCAGCTCTGCAGCCTGGTGCACAACCTGCCATACGGCAGAGGCTGAGCCCAGGCCAAAGGGGGTTTTGTAATAAAGCAGAACAGAGGGACCGGCTCCAGGGCCTGGCAGTTAAGACAGCTGAATCCTACACGGCCAACATCGCAGTTCAAGTCCTGGACCCACCAGGCATGCCTGTGTGCGCACCCCAAATCCTGGAGAAAGAGGCTGAAGAGAAGAGATTAGGGCATGACCATGCCCCACGGGGGATGCTTTCTCCCTCTCCCTCTCTCTGTCTCTCTCTGGTGAGTACATGAGACCTCTAGCAAAAGAAAGGGGAAAAGAAACCACAACAGAGTAGGAAGCACCCACGCGTGCTGCCGATGGTGAGGCGAGACTCCAGTCTTGTGTGCTGCTGCACAGCGCCCCCTGGCGGGAGCCCTTGCATATTTGTGACCACGGGTCCGGTTGGAACACTTTGAAAGCACGGCTCCAGCAGCGTGGGTGGAAGGCAGCCCCTGCGAGGTTGAAATGCCGCTGGTTCTGTGGTGTCCTAATGCCAGTCCTGGCCCTTGCTCAGCTGTGTGACCTCGGGCAAGGCAGTCAACCTTTCTGAGCCTTGTCGGCGGAATGGGGACCTCAGACTGCTACTTCAGGGTGCTGTGAAGCTCAGCTGAGAGGTGACAGGGGAAGGGCATGTGTGCACGTGCAAAATCCCGGTGAGAGCTGAAGGGACTGCGGTGAGAGCGTGCCCCCGGGGGTGTTCTCTCTTTCTCTCTCTTTCTCGCCCTCACACACGTAGCCTCTGACAATTAAGGAAGAGGAGCCAGCAGGTGGTGTAGAGGCTAAGGTGCTGGATTCCCACATGGCCTGCTCCACAGTTCGAGTTCCAGACCTGGCAGTTTGAAAATCACACTGGGTGTGTGTGTTCATGTGCCCAAAATCCTGAGAGGAGACTGGAAAAGGGATTCCCGCCAGGTCTGATTACTCTTTCTCTTTCTCTCACTCTGCCTCTGGTGAGCACATGCACCCTATAGCAAAGACCAAAAAGTAAAATTAAAAATATATATATTATTTTATTTATTCATTCATTATTTTAATTAGACTAAAAATATATATATTATTTTATTTATTCATTCGTTATTTTAGTTTGACTAAAGAGAGAAAGTGAGAAAGCTAGCCACCAGGTCTGGGACTCAAACCGTGGTCAGTCATGTGGGAGTATCCAGCACCTTAATCACCATGCCACCTTGGTCCCCCCCCAAAGGTAAACATTTTAAAATAATAATTAAAAATCAAAATAAAAGGAGATAGGCAGACCCCAGAACTGGCCCTGATTCTGCAGCCCCTTCCCTCTCTTTCTTTAAATGTTTATGTTATCGTTTCGTTCATGACGGAGAGCGCATGTGCATGTGCTGGAGCCAGAGCAGCACCCTCTCAGGGTCTCGCCATGCCGCAAGCCCCCAGCCCGCCAGCCCGCCAGCTCTCAGGTCACGAGCAGCGTGTCTTCAGGCCGACCCGGGATCCAAGCCCGTGCTTGGCCCCTGGCTCCGGCTCTGCTGGGCACGCCCTCCTGCTGTCACCCTCCATGCCCTCCGTCCTAGCCCCGTGGCAAGTTAGGCCACCTACTAGACTTGCTGAGTCTCAGCCTCCTGGTCAGTGAGATGGGTGCAGCGGCACCCATGGCGCTGGGAGTGGCGGGTCGGCGAGTTCACGTGAGTGAGGCAGCTCGGACAGCTCCCGGCTGCGGAAGCTCCCAGGAGAGCTTAGCGGATACGAGGGTCAGGAGGACCCCGTCCTTTTACCCACACCGTTTCTCCCATGCGTGCTTCAACACACGGCCCTGCCTGGGACGCCTGCGGACTTGGTCTATACCTCAGTTACAGCCTAGATGACACGGAAGTCGGCCTGAGCTCGCCCGCCTCCCCTAGCAGACCCGAGCCCCGGGGCCGGGCCAGCTCTGGCTCACCCTGGGTCCCGATACCTGGCCCGGAGACAGGCCACTGAACGAGTGAATGAACGGCCATCCTGCCCGTGCAGGCTGGAGTTGGCCCGCGACCTCACTTCCTCCTGCTGGGGCCCCTCACCAGTGGGTGGGCGCTCAGGGGGTACAGACATCCTGGAAGACAGCCACACGGACTCTGCCAGGCTGCAGGATCGCTTCGGGGCTCAGCCAGAGGCTTGGGTCCCTTTTGGCAGGCTATTTAACCTGGCCAGACCTCGGGTTCTCATCCCGAAATGGGACCTGCGTGGGTTATTGAGAGTCAGAGGGGGGTGAAGCCACACCTGTCAAAACTAAATCTCAGCTGTTAGGGCTGTGCGATTTGTCGTTAGTCAATCAACAAGCACTTAGCGGTGCCCACCTTCTGCCCTCTCATCATCTGAAGAGTAAAGCCCTCCCGTCCTGGAGGAAAGCTGACAGTGAGGGCTCCCGTTGTGGGATTCCTTAAGATGTATTTCATGTCGGGGCTAGCAGGTGGCGTGGAGGTCCAGGTGGCTGGGCCCCACATGGCCAACTGTGCGGCTGCACACCTCGTGTCTTCAAAGATACACCAGGTGCGTGTGTGCGCGTGCCCCAAATCCCAAGAGCGGGATGGAGAAGGGACTGCAGCGTGGCCACCTCCCCTGGGGGGCGATTTCTCACTTTCCCTCTCTCTCGCTGTGTATCTCTCTTGGGTGAGCCTACATGCTTCTCTGAGCCTCAGTTTCCTCCTCTGCAGAAAGAACTTCCACAAGTTGGGAAATGATAATGCAACATGTACATAATGGGAGACTTGGAGGAGAGGGGCCAGCTGGGGTCAGCAGGCGACATAGTGGTTAAGGCCTGGACCCTCATGTAGACACCTGCGGTTTGAGTTCCAGACCCAGTGACTTAAAACTCAAGCAGGGCGGGGCCCGTGGGTGGCATAGTGGTTAAAGGTGCTGGATTCCCACATGGCCGACCATGGTTTGAATGGTGGCTTGCTTTTTCATTTTCTCTTTCTCCCTCTGTCACTGTCTGGTCAAATTAAAAAGTAATTATAATAAATGGAATTAAATAAAGAAATAATTCTCTCTTTTTAAGGAAATTTAAAAATTTATTCTTTATTACTATTTGATCAGAGAGACAGAGAGAGAGGGGGAAAGTGAGAAAGCAAGCTGCCAGATCCGGGACCCGAACCGTGGTCAGCCAAGTGGGAGTGTCTAGTGCCTCCACCATCACACTACCTGCTGGTCCCCAAATAAATAACTCTTTAAAAACAAAAACAAACAAACAAGCAAAACCAGAGCACATGTGCATGTGTGTCCAGAGTCCTGATAGAAGAATGGAGGAGAAGGGACCGTGGCATGGCCCTCCCCCCTGCGGGTGATTTCTTGCACTCTGTCTCTCTGGCAAGAGCACTCACCCTACTAAAATAATCTCTAAAAAAAAGGAAAAAAAAAAAAAAAGGAGTGGGGCCAGCCACTGGAAGGTCCTAAGGCAGAAAGGTGCCTGATTATAGAGAAATAGCCGAGCTTGGCCTAGCCAGGACAGGGTGGGGACAGCGGGGAGGGAAAGGGTGAAGTCAGGTCGCTCTGAAGCCCGGTCCTGCTGGTCCCTGGCTGGCTGGGAGCCACTGGGCTGCTTCTATCTCCAGGGCGCCAGGTCCGAGTTAGGAGCGGTGCACCTGCACCCGCCCTCTGCAGAGCACAGCACAGGTTGCTGGGGCGCGGGGAGAGTTGGGGAGTTGGCGAGGCGGGCACCTGCTCAGGCAGCGACACAGTCCGACTGGAGCGAAGGCAGAGCTGAGCGCCTTGCTGTGGGACCGGTTCTCGTGCAGACGCAGCGAGAGTGTGCGGGTGTGCTTAGTGTGCACAGCCCCCCCGTGGTTCTGGAGGGACTCAAAATGCAGTTGGAGCTCGCGGGTGCCGCTTTCCCTGTGGGTAAGCTGAGGTCCTCCAGTTCAGGTGCCCGGAAACTGCATCTTGCTGAGGACAGTGGGGACAGTTCTAGGCTGCTACCTTGTGGTTCCTCCTCTGGGGCCAGCAGAGGGCACCAGACCCTCACGGTTGGCCTCGCTGTCCAGGGAGGGGCCAGCCAGGCCTGTCCAGGCTCAGCCGCTGACCTCTGTCCAGCACTGGCTGTACACCCAGCCCCAAGCCAGCTCGACCCGACAAAAGGGCCACACTGAAAACAGTCCCTGGGCCGGCCGGTGGCACGAAGGTTAAGGCGGCTAGATTTCACCAGCTACCTGCACTGTTCAGTCCCGGACCCGGGGGCTTGAAAAACACGCTGGGCAGTGCGTATGCCCCACATCCTGAGAGACTGCAAGAGAAGGCGTAGCAACGGGACCTCCCCACGAGGGCGCGTTCTCGCGTGACCCCCCATGAGGCGCATTCTTGTGCCCCCCGTTTCTGGCTGGCAAGCACACGCCAGCGAGTAGACAGCGCGCACTCCTGGGATGCAGGAGCACCTGCTGGCACGAGCACGTTCCGCTCCGTGCCCGCCGTTTCCGTAAGATGAAGGCGGGCGCTCCAGATGACAGGAGGACAGGGACAAGGAGAGACCCACTTGGAGGCCTCTCCCTGACTCGCTGTGTGAGCTCTGGTAAATCGCTCAGCCTCCCCATGCTACCCCAGGACTGCTGTGAGGACACAGCGGGGCAGTGGACAAGCACTCACCTCTACTCACCAAGAGGGGGTCGTGGCGACTCCCAGCATGGCTTGGACCAGAACCCACATTCCGAGGGCCTAGAGCTCGACTCTGAACCCTCCACTGAGAAAGCCAGGTTCAACTTTGGTGCCAGCCGGGCACTGGTCGGCTAGGTGGCCTCATCTGGGCTCTCCTCTCCTCCCCTGAGCAGTGGAGGTGATGACAGGGCCTGCTGCAAAGCGCATGCATCATGTGGGCGCCGGGGCCCTGCTGCTCAGAGCTGGTCGCCACTTCCGCTCACAGCCAGGCTGTACCATCTGTGACTGGCATGTCCCATGCTCCTGTCCCCTGCAGAGGGGGGCACTGGGCAGCACAGGCCCCACGGGGGCAGGCCTGAGGGGGCAGAGCAGGCATGGCATGGGCTGCGGCCGTCCTGAGCCCACCGTTCCTCCCCAGGAGAGACCTTCCTGCCCTACTACACGGGCCGGGCCATCGACAGCATCGTCATCCAGAAGAGCATGGACCAGTTCAGCACGGCCGTGGTCGTCGTGTGCCTGCTGGCCATCGGCAGGTAG